CTCTCTCCAAGGCTTGACTGACCCTATGCACCCGTCCAGGCTGCTCTGCCCACTCAGGGCTGATTGTCCACCTGCATCTTAAGTGGCTGCTTATGTGTCTGTTTCCACGGAGCCGTCAGTCTCCTGCATGAACGACGTCTTATTCCCAGGTATTGGTAGTGCTGGGCTCAGTGCTTCACACTCACATCCGTAGTTTCAGCCAGTTCACACCAGCCCACAGTGTGGGGAGACGGCTGCGAGTTGCCATTTGCAGAGAGGAAACTGAGGCCAAGAGGCAGAATCACTTGCTGCAGCCTCCTGCAGACTTCAGAGGACAGCTCCTCTGAGAACGGGAGTCCCCTGCCACCGGGAGGGAGCCAGCAGGGCACCTCTGCATTAGAATTCTCCCAGAGGAGACCGCAGCAAAGGTCTGTGCTCCGAAGGGAAGGGGCCATGACTCAGCTGAGGCAGCAGCTGTTTCTGTTCCACAGACACCTGGCCGGGAATGAAATCTCTCCCGGCTCGGCTGCGCCTTTCCCGTCTCCTCCGCTTCTTCTCAGGGTTGCTCTGCACCCTCCTCCGCCCTGCGCCCCCCAGATAGCCCCTGTGACCCCGGGCTCTGCAGTCCTCCCTGGGCACCTCCTGGGCAGTGCTGAGGGGAAGGCCCACCGCCCCACTGCTCATCTCCTGGGAGCAAACCACCGGCTGTTGTGATGTCATCTGTGCTGAGACATCTGTCACTAGCTGCACCTTCACATGTTTCTGGGACAGGCAAGGGCTGGTGTAAAAGCGTCCCTAGGAACGCCGTTCCTCAGATGCTCCTGTGTTGGAGGCTCCAGAGAGATGAGACACACTCACCCAGGACCCCTCAATGGTGGGGTCCAAACGGGCCACCGTGCGGCTTCGACGGCGGAGATATTCTGTATCCATCCCCTTGAGAGAGAATTTCTCACCTGAACACATTGTACTAAATGAAAGAAGTGAGTCACAAAAGTCCATATACTGAATGATTCCATTCACATGAAAGTTCCAAATATGGAAATTTATAGAGATAGAAAGTAGATTCGCGGTTGCTTGCAATGGGGGCAGGGAAGCCACAGCTCATGGGATTTCTTTCCAAGGTGATGACAATGTTTCAAGATTGACTGTGGTGATGGACGAGCATATCTGTGAATATTCTGAAAACCAGGGAATCATACCGTGTCAATGGGGGAATTGTATGGGCTGTGAATTATAGCTCATAAAGCTGTTTAAGGAAAGAAAAAGATAATCTCTCCCCACCATCTCACCCTGAAACAGACCGCTCTACATGTACCACGCAAAGGAAAAAAGTCGGCCTCATTTTTTGAAGGACACCCTTGCAAGGTGATGCCCTCAGAGGCTGGGTGGGGTCCTAAGATGTGTCAGGGGACAGGGGCTGGGGTTAAACCCACAGTAGACTTTGTTCTATGGACAACTGTGGACAGGGTTCCCACTACGGACAGCAGGAATCTGCGTGCCAGTGTGGGCACCATGGACTTTCCCAGGGAGCTGGGAAATGGTCTTCATCAGGCTGGTCAAAGCACACACCGGAACAGGGCAGAGGTCTGGCCTGAGCTCGGGGCCCTCTGTGCAGGTGCTGGAAGCTCAGAGCCCAGGCTGTGACTGTGCCCAGCAAGATGCACACAGGAGGCTGTGGCCAGCCTTCCACGTACTGACTTCCCCTCACTTTTCCTGCCCTTGATTCCTCCTATCAGTCACGTCTCAAGCCACACGGGAAGAATGGAGTGGAGATGACTCTGCAGACAGGAGCTGAGGGCCACCTTCTCAGATTTGCCATTTCCAGGTGCCACCTGTGCATTAATTCACTTCGTATGTATTTTACAGTTAATTTTCCCAAAATAATGACATTGCGACCATAAGCATAGAAACAACGTCACTATCCAGTTTACCGTTGCCTATCCGCGCTATTAGAGAACTCCAGACACCTGGCTCCACCCTGAGCCCTTCCTGCCTTCATCAGAAAAACCAGAGAGAGTAAAGGAGGGGGAAATAGTTTCCTCACTGTGAAATTCAGTGTTCTTCGATAGCATGCGTATTGGTCACCCATAAGCGCCTCTGGCCCACGGGGTCCCACTGGGATTCCGCAACGGAGTCTCTTCCCCACCATGTGCAACCCAAGCTGCTCCTTTGGGATTTGGTTCGTAAGTGGCTCCAGTTTAGCCACACCCGGGTACCAGGAGACCAAAGTCCCGCTAGCTGACTTGGACACGGACGCATGGCTGGATGGGTCTTCTCCGGGTCCCCACCAGGGAGGCAGCTGTGAGCAAGGCAGACCTCAAGCCCACCAGCACCTGGTCAGGGAAAGCCCCAAGTTATCCCTAACCCAACACACCTGTGTTTGTGCCGCGCGCTACAGAGAAGGCGTGCAGGACTCCCCGAGACTGTGTGAACAAGGAACCAACTTAAACTGATCCTCCTGGGAGGGTCACGTAGCCGCCAGGCAAAGGGCGCTTAGGAGAGGGGTTCCCAGGCCGGGGCCTCCCTCTGCCCACCGGATGTGCCCGCTGGATCCTCCCATTTCTCCACGCCACCCTCACATGCCTCCTGAATCCAAGCCCTGCCTACACCGATGTGCTCCTGTCCCTCCATCAGTGCCCATTATGGAAAAGGCCGCATAATCTGTTGGATCTGAAACTCAACTGTGGATGAAATCTACACACACACATCTTATCCCATGGCGGTCTGGGCATTTTTATTAAATTGATTTTGCTCCCAGTGCATCCCACCGGCCCTGCCACGTGCCTTCAGGCGGCCTAAAATCCATCAGCAGAGGACGCTTTCTGGTCAGAGATGCCCACATCTGATTCCTTCGGGACAACTTGGTTTTAATAAATCCAAAGTCTTCATTGCACTGATTTTTCTACCTAAATGCAATTCTCTCCTGATTGCTTCTCAGCCAAGCACCTCAGAGAACGCCTATGAAGACAGTGGTAGCTCTAACCCAGCAGGTGGTCAGCGGGTTCAGGGAGGTGGGGGGGTCAAGGGGCTATGTGAATTCAAACCACAGGGGACACAGGCCTGGGGGGGCAGCCCCATCCTCAGCCCCCTAGATGCATCTGTAGTAACCTTGGAGGCTTTTGGCTGCAAAGGAATCTCCACATAGGCCTAGAGTGCTCCGAGCCCCGTCCTCATCCAAGTGCGGAACATGTGGATGAAGCTGAGCTGATTCTTTCTGGGGGCGGGAGCGGGGGGCGGGGGCGGCGCAGGGGGAGATGAGGAGAAGGGAAAGAGAAGTGCAGAAAGTCTCCGCGGGGGTTTGTACGCGCCTGTCCACAGTGAGGAGCAGGGTTTGCACGTACCCATCCGCGGTGGGGAGCGGCTTTGTCTGTGTCCAGCCACAGCGAGGAGCGGGGCTGGGCTACTGAGGGGCGCTGCTGGCCCCCGTGTCTGCTCCTCTTTGACTGTATGGAGCTCACTGACCCTGGCGACCTCAGCTGGGGTGTATTCTGGATAACCACAGGACTGTACTTCCCTCACTGTACGCCCATCCTCAGCCATCCAAGGAGACAAGGCTGGCCTGGGTCACTCCATTCAAACTCCAAATCTGGTCGTCAGAACACTTTCTGGACTTGGGAATATAAGGGGTTGAATCCAGAAAAAGAAACAATGAGCAAGAGAAAGAGAGAGTAGGGGGGGAGAGAGAGACAGAGAGAGAGAGAGAGAGAGAAAGGGAGGGAGGGAGGGAGGGGAGGGGAGGGAAGGGAAGGAAAGAAAGAAGGAAGGAAGAAATTAGCATGGTGGGCATGGGGACAGATGGCAATGTTAAATAAAATGGTCAGGGGTGGCCTCCTAAGTGAAAATCAAGCCAAGATTTGAAGGAGGGGAAGGAGCTGGCCGAGGTGCTGAGGGAAGAGGATTGTAGGCAGAAACAGCGGAATAAAGTGTCTGAGGTGTGTCTGAGGCTCTGGAAGGAGGTCAGTGGAGCAGAAGGAGAGAGGGAGAGAATTAGGGCAG